ATATATATATCCGTATTAAAATATTGTCGTCTCTTAATTTTTAAATTAGAACACTGGTTAATTCAATTTACACTTGACTGGTTAATGGTTTTCTATGGCAACTATAGCAAATAGGGTCTGCTTCATTTAGTAAAAGTCGTCGATGTGTTGTGTTTATATGGCCAATATATAATCTGTTTCTGAAAGCTCTAGAGAGAGATTTTAAAGGCAGAAAATGTGATGGCTGTCTGGAATTAACCCAATAACTCAACAAAATTTACGCTATATAGTCGATTAACAGAATATATTGTATAAAAATATGAAAAGATTATGTAATAAACCAAAAAGTTATTTTTAAAAATAAATAGTTTTGCTTCATTTTTTTTGTGTGTATTTCAGTAGAAACACTCAAACAATTTTGGGAATTACTTCTGGTGTTAATATTTTGTAACGTATAAAAAAATGTTTCTTTCATTTGTATATCAAAATCGACCGTGTTAAGTAGTGAATAAAAATACCTATTTCACTTGTATTTCGATACACTTGCTTATAGTATAAAACGAATTTTAATTAATCTTTATTAAACGACCTTTATGGAAAAAATCTTTTATTTCCCTTAAATTTTCAAAAAAATGGTAAAATGTTAGAGAATTTTTCATATCTTAAATATTTTAACTATGCAACTGCTGTTTCCAGGTAGTCAAAATCTTTATGAATGCTATAATTCTACCATTTTTTTTAAAAAAGAGGTCTAAATGTCCATTAACGGAAATTAACATAAGGAAACTTTTAAGTTTTGGAACTCAGAGATTTTGTATAGTATTATATAAACGCATAATTTATTTGTTGTTTTTGTGCTTAATTTCATAAGAAGAACGAAATAATGAGGTAAAATAATTACATATATTGTGTGTACTGCGTTGTTCTTAAGGTCTATTGTAACTGACAATTCTATGAGAATGCTAAAATCGTAACCATGTTTCCGGAATGCAAATAGAGTATCCATCCAATCGAAATTTGATCCATCCCACTTGTCCCCCTCCACCACTGGCCACCCACCCAATTTTTGTAGTACTTCCTGTAAAGGTTTGCTGCCAGATTTCTCAAGGATATCTGTAAAGATAAAGTAAAGTAATTTTTTACTTTATATAATTTATTAAAAATGAAATGGGTAAGTTACAAATAAACACATAATCTTTCACAAATCATGGATTTTTTAAAAGTTATTTTTTATTAAAAAATTAATATTTTTATTTTATATCTATCGATTTTATTAATTTGTATTTTTTATTAAAAGTTTTTCGCAATTTTTTTTTAAAAAAATGCCCTTTTGAATGATTTTTGGATTTTTTTTTCACATTTAAAATGAATGTATGGTAAATTAAACAGTGTATTAAGAATATGTATGCATTTTTTTAGCATTTATAGGAAAAATCTAGAACGCTTTTAAAAACTTCCTTTGGTAAAAATTTTTGAAAAATCCATATCTTTTATTTTTAAAATTCATGTTGCCTAATTTGTACAGTGTCTTAAAAGTATCCATACATTTCTATGACTCATCAAACTAAATCCAAAATTTTCTGCAGAAATAAGGAAAATATTTCTTTTAAAAAAAAAAATTCTGATTCATGATACCTTATGATTTGAATTCGTCCTCAAAGTGCTCCATCTCTTGAACAAATGAATAAATATTTTCTAAATTACAGCTTTTATTGAAAATTAAATTAAAATTGATAAAAAATTTCCTGATTTAAAAACAGGTAAAACTTGATATGTCCTTTTGCGTTTACTTAGTATTTCTGGTTATTCAAAGGTGTGCTGGCTTTTAAGTTTAGAGGAGCTCCATCACATGGTGAAAAATTCTATCGCGCTCAAATCTATTAATCAAGTAATTTAGCAAAGTGATTATGATTACTAAAATCTCTAACTTTCAGTTAAATACTCATCCGAAAATTCAAGCAATAAAGGTAAATTAATTTTAGCTGTAAGCCTACTATTTTATTTTTAAATTTTTTTAGATTCAGGTGATAAAAGCAGTGTGCTTACAATGCTTAGACTGCAACATTCAATAAAATGGTGACTTATTGCTTTAAATCAATGCACTACAACAGTTTTTATCGCCGATGGCGGATCAACACTTGATAATTTCTCTCTGAGAGAGGGGCGGATGTTGATTGTTTACATTTAAGATAGTTTTTATTTAATAATTTTAATGTAATTGCATTTGAACATGTATTCGAAACAAAATACTGTTACATTCTCGTTACTGGATTGACTTTAGGTGATGTCTCTAGACTCCCTGTTAACCTCTCGTCTATAGAAAGTTGCACGAACCCGAGAGAAATAGACACAGAAAATAAAATGAAAATAATTTAATGATCGTATGGTGATCTGGTACCATTTCATTTATGGACCGGGACCAGTCCATATCTCAGGAGTTGGGGTTCACTGCTTTAAATGAACTACATGTTTATATCCAATTAATATATAAAGATGAAATTTATCAGGCTCATAAGTGCCTTCTCCCCTTTATATAAAATAAAGCTACAACTAAATTTTTTAATTTTTTCCAAACTATGGGAAATATTGATTTTCTGCCAACTACGGGTTAAGAAATGGGTAGATATGATTTCAATTTATGCTCTTAATATTCTACCTATTGGGCGAGAATGCTATAGCTATAAATTCAAAAAATCCGATGGGCCACGCATCTGCTAAATAATAAAATTTACTCCGAGAAACTTATTAGCGGAATAGAAACATTTTAGTGCAAATTACTAATTTTTTTAAGTTCTTGCGTGTTCGTATTTTATACAAATTTGAATGGAAATAAAAGTACTGTCTGACTATCGCGAGATGAGCTCTCAGTCGGTTGCTCTTTATTATTGTCTGAGATAGATGAAATCCGATGGTATTAAACGTACAGTAAAATGTAGAGCAAAAAAAAAAAAACATCGTTACAAAAGGGATGGTTTTTATTGCAAACTTAATGTGTAGTTTGAGTTTGTTTTTGCTTAATTCTTTGAAGCAGATGGGATACTGGTGACCTATTTCTAAATTTTTTTCTAGAACTTATTACAATCAAATATTATAATTTTTAATTTTTTATTATATAAAACAGTCTAATTGTTAATAAAAAATCTGTTAGATAATCGGAATTAAATTTGTACTGAAATATGAAATCCAAAAAAAGTAGCACGAATTTCTTTTTCCATTCAAAAATTTAACAATAATTGATTTTGCAAATTAAGGAAATTTCAATAATAAATATCTGTTCTTCTTAGATCTAAATAACATAGCTCACTTCCAAACAATAATTTGAAAAATTAGTGCTTGAAAGTGAGCTGTGTTTGGTAGATTTTACCTTTAACGCAGTAGACACTCGTGTATAGTGCTGTATTTCATAACCATAAATTATTAAAAAGCTAAATCTAATAATTTTACTTATTTGGACAATAATAAAAAAAAGTTTGTTTAATAAAAATTCTGCGACAAAGGGTAAACAAACAACGCTATCATTCCATCACGTGAAGTTGTTGTAGTCGTAATTATCTGAATAATATTCAAATGCAGGAACTGACAAACGTGTTCTCATTTTTGATTTTGTGTTCATTGTCCGAAATAGTCTCTGTCTTAATAAATAGACTAAATTCGCCAATCTGATATGTAAATGAAGAAAGCATATCAGCTATGAATTTTGCGCTCCGCAATGGTTTAGGGAAGTTCGTCTCCCAAAAGGTGCAAAGGCTCGAATCCAACCGGTGGTTAGTTGATACGAATTCTATTCTCAACTCGCACCGACCACAGTGCTGATATAAAAACATCCTCGGCGGTAGACAGTCATAGGTTAGAATCTTTAATCATGGGTTAGAATCCTTTTGCCGTCTGACTAACCATGAGAGATTTTGGTAGTTTTTCTCTTCATGCAACACAAATGGGGGTAAGTTACACAAAAAAGTCCTCCACGAGGGCTAGTTTGTCCCAATACTTCATCGAAGAGTTCTTTTGTCCACTGAATCGAGCTCAAAATTACAAGACTACGGAGTTGAACATTGATAGTCATAAACCCAAAGCCAATCGGGTCTCAAGACGACCAACTATAAAACTCTGTGGGGCTAACATTGCAACGAGGGAAACCATAGATTATTTGGGATTTAGATTGCATTATCAGCTTTCCTGGTTGCCTCACCTTGACTTTATCTATAGCAAAGTTACTAAATTTCAAGCTAAACTAAATAGAATCTCTGGGGTCGACTGGGGGATTGGCCCTGATGTTCGGAAATTCATCTACCTAAACAGCACTCAGAAACTTATCTTATATGGAGCAGAAATTTGGTTTTCCCAACAGGTAAGAATCATTAATAGATTGAAAAAAATGGAAAGAACTTCTTTACTATCTATCACTAAGGCATACAAGACTGCATCTACTGACTCTCTCCAAGTACTTGCTGGAACAATTCCTCTAGATATGGCAGTAAACATAGAAGCTCAACTTAATAATATTTTTCAACATGAAGAAGAACATATAATCTATAAACCAATACCTACACCTTATATTTATCATCCGGCTGAAGAAATTTTACTTAAATATCAACTGCATTTACCTACTTATAAAGGACTAGAATTATTTACAGATGGATCAAAAATATTAGTTAACAATGAGTTTAAGACAGGATGCGCTTTCGTGGCCTATCTGGAGGGAGAACCTGTTGAAAGAAAAACCTTTCGCATCTCTGATCACGTTTCCGTGTTTAAGGCTGAATTATGGGCCATTCTCCAGTCGATTCGTTGGCTTAAAGAACAAAGAATTACAGACAATATCTCAATTTATACGGATTCCCTGTCTAGCCTGCAAGCTTTGGAAAGCAGCAACTCTAAAGAGTATTTAGTCCACTTAATAAAACAAGAATTCACAAACAATATCGCTTTACATTGGATAAAAGCACATGCAGGCCATAAGGGCAACGAAGAAGCTGATAGGTTAGCCAAATTAGCCTGTGAGAGATCAACGGTCGACCTGTTTGAAGATCCTAGCAGGCGGACTGCAAGAAAAACTTTGGAACGCGAAAAATTGATTGAATGGCAGGAGAGATGGAGTGACAGCTTCACAAAGGGAAGGCACACATTCGAGCTCCTCCCGAAAGTTCAAACGAGGAAAATCATGGGGAATTTCTTTTTAAATCAATTCCTAACTAATCACGGCTGTCATGGACAACATCAAGCCAGGTTTTTTGGGGGAGCTCAGCTGTGCAGTACCTGTCAGCTTGTTGAGGATTGGGAACATATTTTAATCCAGTGTACAAATTTTAAGCACATTAGAGAGAAATTTTTTCATTCAAAAACCACCTACGAGTTTATAAAGCAGCATTGGTCAAACCCTAAAATAAAAAAGGGAATTGAGGAAATAATAAGAAAATTGTTTAGTAACAAGGCACCTCCCTGAATCCTGATGGCCTTTTGCTGCCTCTTGTTAGGAAAAATACACCTAAATCACGGCTTATTAACTTACCTGTTATGGTTTGATTATTACTTGAATTTTCTCTTAAAATGTTTTTTTTTTGGAGCTTTAGTCTCATGCTTTGTCAATCTCTGCCCTTATGTGATTCCTCATTTTGAAAATTTTAATCACTTGTGTTCCTAGAGTTTTTATATATGGTATATATATGTCCTTTCTGTTTAAAAAAAAAAAAAAATAATAATTACTGGAATTTGATAACTTTAGTACTGTTGTGCCAGCCATAATTATATTCTGAGTTACAAACATCCTTTATTTTCCATGTGAAATTGTTTCCTTTTATTAACTTTGCACCCCTACTGAAGATGCGACATCAATATCTCTTCTGATTGTTACTGTTTATTTTCTTTGTAATGTTTGTTTCCTTAGTTTATTTCTAAGTAGCACCGTTTTCTGGATTTCATATTTAATATTCCACCTATTTGTTAAAACTCTAATTTGAAAATTTTGAATATGTTTGCTCATGTAATTGAACTGTTACGCTCACTTCGAACTTTCGGAGTGCCCCCGGATGCCCCCTTACGGGGGCGGGACGGGCTTAAGCTTGTTATTGATAGTCATAAACTAAGAGTTGGGTTGGATGTTTAACGCCGGTTATAAAACAAGCTCACGAAGCACACAGATAAAATTAGAAAATTTAAATTTTTGACGAATTAAAATTTAAATATCTCAGAAATTTGCACTGCATTTTTATAAAATAGAATGAGAAAGATATAAAAGGCATATTTTAAATTTTTGTTAACATTTTATGAACTTTAAATGCTATTTTGAATAATATTTTTAATAATATTTTGAAAATTATTGAATTGAAAGTTATTACATGAAAAGTTCTTATGTTTATCAGGAAACCATCCAATAATAATTATTAGGTAAAAAGAAATTAAAATATTTTAAAAGACAGTTTTTAAAAATGGGATCATAATGTTACTTTATCTGCAAAATAATTCATATGAACGTACCTAAATCCAGGCATGAATTGTACATATCTTTCACCATTTTTATCGATTTTGGCTCAGATTCATCTGATGGTTTTTGTAGCAAACCTGAAAATTATATGAAATAAAATAATTGTATAAAAATTCATACTGAAATGATTTCAAAGTACATAACATAAAACAATGCTTTAATTTACAAACATATCAAATATCTAACTTGTAAAAGTAAATTTTCATTTCATATATTTTATTTTCATTTTAAATTATTCATTTCATTTTAAATTAATTATTTCATTTCAATTATTTATTTCATTTTCAATTTTTATTTTATTTAGATTTTTTTTACATTCATTATATTTTATTTTATTTTATTCGAATGTAATATTTCTAAATAAAATACAATTAAAATACTTATTTGTGATGGGTGATGCTCATTCACTTTTCAATGAACAATTTTGTAGAACAATTAATAAACAATTCGTTATAAAGGATACTGAGAATTTAGATTGAAATCATGAGATAAATTTCGAATATATTTAAAAGACTTGGAGATAGAGATAATGATAAGCCATAGTTTTCAAAAACAAGATATTTTTACATCAAAATGTTCCTTAGGAATATTTCCAGATAGATACTTTGGGAGTTTCCTGAAATAGAGATGGATTACATCAAATGTTTTTTTAATTTTTTTATTTCCAATGAGCTACACAATCAATCTTCCCGATGAGCAGACCTAGTGTGTTCTCCAGAAGTGGTATCCACTCTTTCAGGAACACTACAATGGGTGAGATACCGTTGGCCATGTTAATTTGTTCTGTAGTCTAGTTTCTGCCGCACTAGATGGCAGCACTGAGACTCTATTTGAATGCTAAAGAGCACTAGGAATTTAATTTTGCCGGAAATGTCAAGAGCCAATAAGGCACCCCAGGGATCTTTTACATGCCGCTTAATCATACGACAAAACCGCTGAGGATTTTCTGCGTCAAATGTCTTATGTCTTAATTGGAAATCATAGTGTTTTTTTTTCCAAAACAAGCTCGCCTAAATAAATTTAATATGTGGTTTGTATAGTGATAATAACTATATAGCATCAAATCCGTTTCTCGCTAAATTAGCTCAATATGTCGCCTTTTTCGAGTATAGCAAATAAAAATTTATTGACTCAACGTTAAAATATTGGGAGTTAGAAAAGAATTTTGATTTAAAATTAGCTTGCTTTGAAAGTTATATTCCTTCTTCTAATAATTAAGGTTTTAATTTTCTGTAAGAAAGAATTAACGCTTTGAATTTCCTAAAAATACTTATCTTAGAAGTTTTTCTCTTCAGAAAGAAAGGAAGAGAACCATCAAATGGAGAATGAACCTCAATAAGGAGAACCATTTAATAGTATTGATTTTCCCCTCTTAATCGTGTAATTAAGAGATAACCTTGAGACACTTTTAGATAATCCTTACTATAAAATTTCGGAATACACAGACAAACTTCAACATTAGTAAAATGTAATAAAGAGTTTAAGTCTTTACCCTGCCTGATTCTTGAGTGCCTGTAGACTTCACTATGTACAATGAATCATAAATAATTATTAAAAGTACTTAAGAAAAGCGACCCAAAACAAACCTTTAAGCTGGAGATTTAATACATCTTCGACTTGTTGAAACACTGACAGCATGGCTTTATCATCGGGAATAGAATGTTTGTTTATCCAACCACCGCATGCAAATTTGTAGAAATTATCACAGGGATTAACTTTCTCGTCTAAGATTTGTATGATTTCTTCAGCTGTAAAAAAAATCAGTGTTAAAATTTTAACACGCATGTAAAAATTTATTTCATGAAGTCATAATCAAATGCATGTTATAAGCTTTTTGAACAATCATCTTCGTTTTAGTAGCTTTTTCAAGTTGCAAATTACATAAACCACAGATTTGTTCTAGGATTTATAAGACCTCAAATGTTTTAGCATCTTCAGTTTCTGAAGCAACTACGATAGTTGAAAGTATGACACGCATCAAGTTGCTGTTGTTGTTGCCAATCCTTCGAGATCCAACACCAGCTAGATCAAATTCATGAGTCCGTGAACCTTAGCAGAATCTAACATCAAAGGTGGTTGCAGGGTTAAGTTCTTAAATTCTAGATTCATAGAAGCAAGAATATTAATGAGAGGAGCAGGATTGATCATGCATATGGTACATGTAGGGAAGACCTAGCTCCCAGATTCAAAGGTCATACATTTGAGTCGCGAGGCAGCAAGTATCAAGAAAGAAGAATAAATACGATTTTTTCTTTGAGTTGACGTAAAATTAAGTAATATTAAAAACACGTGTTTCATCCTCAACACGCGAATTAGATTTCCGTAAAATTACTATAGAACCCGAAATTGCTCTCTCTGCCCTCAAATGGATCATATATTATACGCATATAAAATTTTGAAAATAAAAGACGAAAAATTAAAGGGTAGTCTTAAAATTTCAAATCAAATTCAAAATTCTATGATTTAAGTCAAAGATGTGATAAGTTATTCCGGAAGAAACAACAGCAAAAAAAATTACGAAAAATAAACAACATTCTTTTTTTAAGTGATTAAATTAAAATGATTGTAGATAAAATAGATTTAATCGAAATAAATTAACCTTTTCGTCAAGTATCAAAACATCTTGACCGACTGAGTAGTCTTAAGTGTAGTTTAAGTGCAATACTGAAACTTTCATTACCTGTTCTCACACAACCGGGTGTTGTACATATAGCTTCTTCATTTGCCTCCTGCTCAAATCTTGGAGAATTTAAGGGTACAAACCTGGTTTGTATTGTATCTGTAAGAAATCATTAGGCATTTTATCAATTCTAATATGAATAGGTTTACAAAAATGTACTGTATTGTACCGTATGAGTTCCCTAAAGCGAAATGGAGTTTTGTTTAAGAACTTTTTGCACAATTAAAATTATATAGTATATCAGAATAAAAATTCTTTCGTTTATTTATTGTTTTTAAAGTTTAATCAACTAGACCAAATTACTGACAAATAACTTAGATCGTATAAAACATAAAATTAATAGCAAATTCTAATCTAAAGGAATTTAATTATTTTGAGAACTAAAAAATATAATTCAATAACATAAAATAACCTTGTCTTTTTTTTAAAAAAAGTGATTTTTTTTGCTCTTACTTAAATTTTAAATTTGTTAAAAATAAAACTATCGATTTAGTTCTGTATGGTCACAAAATAATGAAATGTGTTTCCACTTCGATTCGCATGATTTTTTCCTTTAGTTCCCAAGAGTGGTTTTGAGGTAAGTACTGTGCAAAACATTTTAGTGTACTTAAAAATGGTAACAACTACATTACACCAAAGTGGTGCTCAACCAAGTGTTCCACAACACCAAGAATGTTCTTTTTTACGTTACTTGGCTTAAAGTAGCCGTCACCATTTTTTTGTATTCAGTCGCCTATCAGTAGCTATCAATTCAATATCTAGCAGCTATCTATTCAGTAGCCTAGTATTAAGTGTATCTTATCTTACTGTAATTTATAATTACAGTAAGATAAGATACACTTAAGAATGAAATAAAGTTATTTTTACGTTGCAGAAAGTAAGAATCAATAGTTTAGAAAGCATAGATACACTAATTCTTAAAACAAAATTAGTTGGTACACAAAACTTAGGCATATTACAGAAAGAATATAAAGGCTAATTCGAAATAGGTTTAACAGAACTGTAGCGAATAAAAATTATGCATGACCAAATTGTTTAATAGATTTTCGCAGAGATTTAAAAATTAAAATATAGATATCCTTATTACACAACTAAAAATACATGTTCTTACGGCGACCTTTTATTTTGGTTTTATTTTACTGTTTTATCATCTTTGTTGAATAGCCAACCCAAGTTTCAATTTCCTACTACCAATGTTTTACTCCGTAGCCTTGTAATTTTGAACCCGATTCAAGAGACAAGAAAACTCCTAAATAAAGTATAGGGAGAAAGTTTCCTTCGTTGAAGACTTTTTTGATGGAACTAACTCGCATTTGCGTTACATGGAGAAGAAAGCCAAGAAAACCTCTCGTGAGCCGGACTGCAAGGGGACTCTAATTCATGATCGGTCTACCACCGAGGACATTTTACGTCACACTGTGGTCGGTGCGAGCCGAGTACGGAATTCGTATCGACCAGCAATCGTTGGGATTTGAACCCTGGTCACCTTCTTGGCAGGCGAGCACACTATTCCTGAAACAACGCGATTCCTTTATTTTAATTGATGCATAGCTGCGTCAAAGATTTCTTCTAACTCGCGCTAACATGCATTCTAATGTAAACAATCTACAGATGATATTCAAACCTCGCCAGTGGTTTCGGAAGCGAAAATAATTCAATTGTTTCTTCTCTTAATGTTTCGGGTTGTTCACCATCAAAGTGGGAGAGATATTACCCCTCAGTGTTTGCAGAGACACAATTCTATGAACCACAATTCTCCATAATCCACATTAAATTTTATAGGTCACAAATAAAATAGCTGTTAAAAACTTCTTTAGCCCAGCAAGAATAACTAACTTGTTACTTTTTTTGTTTATGTTTTTTGCGAAAATGTCAGAATTTTAAAAGCTAAGCAAACTAAAATGTGTAAATTTGCTTATTACTTGATTTAATGGTCTAGAAAATTTCGTTTCTTTCTCTATAAATAAAAAAAAATATTCAAGTGCATGTTTTTATGTTTTGTAGTGTCTGGTATCTAAAAATTATTTTGAAGCATTTTATGACTGATTATCATATTTAGTTCCAGACTGATATTGCCACTTTTAATTCATAACTAATATTAGATGCAGAAACATCTTCTCAAACTTGATTTCATTATTGAGTAGTTTTTAAATATCATATAATAGTCTACTAAAGCAAAATTTGTTTATTTTTTGCTGAAATTATTTTAAGGCGAATATTGCGTCCCGGATAGCCCTGGTTGGCAAGGCGCTGTACTCCTGCTTGGCTTGTGAGAACGGGAGTTCGAATGCAGCTGGCAGAAGACCGTAAGTGTAGTAAATGGTGATAGGTGCGCTTTAAACCTGTTGGATCACAAAGTTCTCCATATTCCCATAATACATTATACCGCTGGAGGTACTGAATTGGAGATTGATCGTTGTCTGGGTCAGATCAAAACTACGATGAGTGGATGAATGAATGTATGAATGAATTTGTCTGCCTTATAAACGGGTGTGACGTATGAGTGTGGTAGAAGTCAAATTCTTGACCATAGATGACACCACAGGGAAATAAGAACAATCGTACCCCTTGTCTTAAAGCCTGCGACAGCAAAATCTGTTAGTTTTAGCATGGTGGATTTTTGCTTTTCGTTTGTATTCACATCAAGACTAAACTATATTGTTTTTAGAAAAAACATTGTGCATTTCTGATTTTTTTAGAAATATTTCGCTACATATAAAAAAGATTACGTGTTTTCGGAAAAATTTGAGACTATTTGAAGACATATATTAAAACTTAGTTCTGCCCTCAAATGTATTTCTGCCCTCAAAGAGCTTGTAAGTTTTAAGGACAATTAATGAAAGTCGAGGTCTGTCCCCAAGATTTGAGAACATCTGGTCACCTTCGTTACCTTAATATAACTCACGCCAAATAATAAGGGTAGCATATTTTCCTTATTAAATATTTTATCTAACGTTTATATATCAAAATTTGTCATTTTCTCAATTTCTCTACGATATGAAACATACAATAGATGGTGGTTCTAAAATTTCTTCAATTTTTGCGATACGCTGCTTGTTGGATCAAAATCTTTATTTCTGCTGTGTCGATCCTTTGTTTCAAAGTATTTCTTTTAAAAATTCCATTGCCTACATTTCAGAAATTAACAAAACTGACGTTAACAGTGCAAAATGACTGAAAAAGCAGTATTCTTCTACATCTTTAATAAGATACAACAATTTAATGCTTTGAAATAGTTAAAAAAAAGTAAAATTGAACTTTTTGTTTAATACTAAGAGCTTACCTATTTTTTTTCGGTAGTTGTGGCCAAAGACAGCTGGTATTGTCAAAGTCATCAAAAGAGATGCTACTAGAAAAAAGTATAATGTTTTTTCTAATTTCATGTGACGATTCCCGCATATCGAGCTCCTGGAAAAAATAAAAATTTGCATACTTCTTTATAAATAAAAACAGCTTACTGTGGAATGTTTAAGTTTTACATGGAACTCTAATACTTATATTTAAGAAAGTTAACGGTGGAGTGTGTTAGTTTGTCAATTGATTCATAAATTGTACTCAAATTAATAATCTAATTTCGATATTTCAAATGTTTTTGTTTTATATTTTAGTTTTTGTTGACTCATAATAATTCTCCCCAAAGTTCATACTGTCTCTTATAACTGATTCTCGTTTTAATAATGGTATAAGTTAAATTAAAATTTGAACGAAGTCGGTCAAATAGTTCTTGAGAAAAACATTTTATATGCGACATTTTTGAAATTTTGAGCTCATGAATTTTATTACTAACTCATTTTACCCTGCAAGACCGTGATTACTTATACGTGATCAAGTGATTCTCTTTTTATGGCTCAATCTATCACATATAAAACTAACCTTTCTTATATACCCAAGATCATACTGATGTGATCTTAGTGCGACACACTCATATAACATCTCTGATAAGTACGCATAAACACGGAGTTTGCGATCCAGGGAAGCGCTTTTTTTTCATTCTGTAGATTCTGACGTGGTTAAAATTTACTAGTTCAAAATGATGCAAGAATTTTTATGCCTTGCAATGCACAATAAAACTATTCCAGCTATTATTAAGTAAAATAACAGCTAAATATAAATAATAATTAGAAATTATTTTGTTCATTAGTTGGTATACAAAACTTAGGCATATTACAGAAAGAATATAAAGGCTAATTCGAAATAGGTTTAACAGAACTGTAGCGAATAAAAATTATGCATGACCAAATTGTTTAATAGATTTTCGCAGAGATTTAAAAATTAAAATATAGATATCCTTATTACACAACTAAAAATACATGTTCTTACGGCGACCTTTTATTTTGGTTTTATTTTACTGTTTTATCATCTTTGTTGAATAGCCAACCCAAGTTTCAATTTCCTACTACCAATGTTTTACTCCGTAGCCTTGTAATTTTGAACCCGATTCAAGAGACAAGAAAACTCATAAATAAAGTATAGGGAGAAATTTTCCTTCGTTGTGGACTTTTTTGATGGAACCAACTCGCATTTGCGTTACCTGGAGAAGAAAGCCAAGGAAACCTTTCATGAGCGAAGCTGCAAGGGGAGTCTAATTCATGAGCGAGACTGCAAGGGGACTCTAATTCATGACCGGGACTGAAAGGGGACTCTAATTCATGATCGGTCTACCACCGAGGACATTTTACGTCACACTGTGGTCGGTGCGAGCCGAGTACGGAATTCGTATCGACCAGCAATCGTTGGGATTCGAACCCNGAGTAGAAACGTTCTTTAGATCTCAAATACTTATATTTAAGAAAGCCAACTGTGGAGTGAGTGAGTTTCTTTATCATTTGATTCATAAATTATATTCAAATTAATAATCCAATTTCGATATTTCAAATGTTTTAGTTTTTGTTGACTCATAATAATTCTCCCCAAAGTTCATACTGTCTCTTATAACTGATTCTCGTTTTAATGATGCTATAAGTTAAATTAAAATTTGAACGAAATCGGTCAAAAAGTTCTTGGGAAAAAAATTTTATATGCGACATTTTTGAAATTTTGAACTCATGAATTTTATTACTAACTCATTTTACCCCACAAGATCGTGATCACTTATACGTGATCATGTGATTCTCCTTTTATGGCTCAATCTTTCACATAAAAAACTAGCCTTTCTTATATTCCCAAGATCATACGGACGTGATCTTAGTACGGCACTCTCGTATAACATCTCTGATTAGTACGCAGACTGAACTCGGAGTATACGATCTGGGAAAGGGCTTTTTCTTCATTCTATAGGTCCTGATGTGGTTAAAATTTACTAGTTCAAAATGATGTGAGAATTTTTATGCCTTGCAATGCACAATAAAACTATTTCAGCTATTATTAAATAAAATAATAGCTAAATATAAATAATAATTAGAAATTTTTTTCCAGAAAATTATATTTGGGTGAAGTAAGTTTTGAAAAATGCACAAAGTGAAATTAGCATTAAGTGACCTAACTTTCAACTACTCACATGAATAAACAAATGGAATAATATTTTTCTGATTGTGACTACCTCCTAGATATTTTGATGGTTATTAATCTAGATTCATTAAAAAAGGGATATTTTTTTAAGTGTTTTTTGTGCCAGATGCCGTAATTCGACAGGCAAGTCGAAGATTAACCTTTTGAAGCCATAAAATTATTTTTTAGAGCAATAAAATACAACCAATAGAACTAAAGTTATTCAGGATGATATATTTTCTTTTGGCTGTACGCATTATCATTCATGGTGAAGGAGTTTAATAAAGTAATGCTGTATGCGCAAGGTTAACGAAGTTTTGGTTGATCGCTCATCTCCATTTTAGACGTACTGATCATCTAATTGACACATTTAGCCACGAAACTAAAGTGAAATTGGATAGCGGCTTTGGGAAAAATGTAATAAATTCGTTGGCAGCTGTGACGATTTTTCTTTTGAACCTATTTCTAAGTTTTTGTCATCACGTGTTGGCTTCAAGACGAGGCACGCTGGTGTTAGTTGCCCATAACACGATGGCCTTTTTCACATTACATATAGGATTCAAAACAAGATTTGCGTTTTCAAGCTTTTCAGTATATTATATAGAAATAACTTAATATCAATCGTTTTAAGCTAAGAAATTAAAAATAATATTATGTTTGAAAATATAATCAATAATTAGGTATGAAATTAAATTTAAAAAAAATTAAGCATACTTACATTCCGATAAATTTGGATGAATGAAACTGCTCTCTCGGCGAGGAACTAAACATATTTCGGTACTTCTTATTTATATTCTTCTTATTTAAAAAAGGAAAAAAAATATGCAATCTGCACCGAAAATATATTTAAATGATATCGCATGTGCTACATATAAAATACCTGTCAGAACATTTTACCATACTACATGAGGTATTTGAGGTAAGTAAACTTGTACTGCATTGTTTTATTGTATTTTTTCAGATTGTCCGTAATCAAATATGGGTTAGATAATCAAATAAATGACAGATAATGAAAAGATACACGACATAACGACTGATAAAAGGATTCGACGCGAATTCAAGGATTATGAATGACGGTAGCGAATTGTTCCAAATTGTTATGGCAACATCATAACTTAAAGATAAAATATTTTTTTTCAATACAACATTTATTTATCATAAAACAAGTACATGCTTCCATTTAACTCGATTTCTAGAAAACAAAATGTGTGTAGCTTTAAACTAAACTACTGCATCAAATACTTTATGTTAAAATTGGTGATTAAAATTGAGTATTTATAACATTTTTCCAAAAATATAATAATAATAATTACTATCATATATAAAATACAATTTAGGTAAAGATTTTATTTATAAATAGGCTACTCAATCATTAATTTGATTGCTACTGTAATCATGGTGATGTAGCTAGGGAAAATCTAATGTTTTGGCTCTTTACTAAATAAAATGTGCATTTGACATTCTACATGAAATCAACTGTCATATTTTGCATCGAAACGATTGCGGTAAACTAGGTTTCTAATTTCCATATTTTATTGCATTATTTTAATCGCCATTGCAAAAGGCGAGTAACAATTTCACCAAACAAATATAATTTTGGATAATGTCATTCATAACCTTTACAAGAACATTTGCACCAGTTCTGTGCCTTATAACAAATAAACTCATGTCCTCAACTTATGGATAATACCAACTTCGCCAAATAAAGGTTCAGAAACGAAACAAACGTGACTTATTCATAAAGTCATTTAATTTAATAAAACAAAAAAGATGGTGCACGTATGATACCATTAATAAAGACTACGATTTTTGATCCCTGGAACAGTTATAAAAACGATCTCCTTTACAAAAACTTACTATTACATGGTTGATGGTATGATGGTTAATACGTTGCATGGCACCCATGCAATGAAAATAAAGTCTGTTCAATACCTAGGTATTCTGAGTACCGAATTATCGGGCTGATCTTGGGGGGAATTCTGAGTTCCTTGGATACTTCCACATGAGTACGCCCATGTTCCAGGCAGAAGATAATTCAATCAATTAAAAAATCCTTCATATACGTCCTCTGTGCAATAAATATTTGGTTATGGCACTAAGCGGCTTACAAAATACTTGTGTACAATTTTTCTTTTATGCTACATTTGCTCATACACTCTTCTCTAACACTCTCGTCATTGTGACGTACTGTGGACGTCATATGATGGTTTCCTGTAATTTACATATTATTCTCGAAGATGCGTGTGTGTTAACTCTACAAGTGAAATTTTTACTTTAGAATTCAATTTCTCAGTGATTCTGTTCTTTGAATATATCATTAATTAAAATGCATGGGTGTATAGTTCATCCTGCTTACATTTTAAAAAGTACTAAAAATTTTTTTGACAAAATATTTCAATCAAATCATTAAATCAGATATATTTAAATGCTTTCTTTTTTAAAATGAAACTCCCTCATCGAAAATTCAGACAGGAATTCAGTTTTAATTTGCAAGATTGAGTGCACTTCTTTTAGAATAATTTCTTTCGATAAGATACATTTCCACCTGCCTTCTGTTTTTTAGAGTAGAAACGTTCTTAAACATTTAATAACGAATAATATGCTACCTACTTACATTTTAAAAAACACTACTAGATTTGTTTTGACAAAAGATATCAGTAAAAAAATTAAACACGTTTTTTTTGTTGAAAACTGATGAGCGACATAAAATTTCTAAAGTGAAATTAGATACTAAACTGATTTATTTTATAACAGTACTTTTGGAACAACTTTTATCGATAAAAAAAATTCCACAAATTTAGTGCTTTTTTTAGGATAGTATCATTTATAATATTTTGACTTAAATAACATGCGTCAAACTTACTTTACAAAAATTACTAATAAATTTCTTGCAATCGAAATTCTATGAAACTCAAATCGAAATGTTTCAGTAGTAGAAAGAGAACCTTTATTCCTTATAATTTATTTTATTTCTTCATTAATATAGTTACAAATTTCTCAAAATAATGACAATGAATATTTTTATTCACGAAAATCTTCTTTAATTATTCAGAAAAAAATAGCAGATGATACATACATTTTTGGGGGAAAGCTCCCAAATGTTATTTTATTTTTTATAGTTCTGCGTATTTTAAACGTTTATAGTGTGCAAAATAACAAGTCATTATTATTTTCTGAAATACTAACTTTTGGACGATCTAAAACGTCTAAAAGATAGTTTGGACAGTAATTCAAAACATCCATATAAAACTTTAAACTAAATTTCAATCTCGTTTTGAACAAGACAGTTTTTTTTACCATTTATTTGCAATTTTAACACAACGCATGTTCATTTTGTTTAGCAACATATGTTTATAAAAAATATTTATTCAACTCGGCTTGCAAAACCATTATAACTAAAGAATTATGTAGTGAATAATGACAATAAACTACAGCAGAAAAGCATGCTTCTCAAAGGAAGAAGTTCATTAGTTTCGTTTCAAAAATCAAGATGGGAAACGTCGATATGTTTCAAGCGCCCAAATCAGTTAAGCATTATTTGGATAAACTAACACGTGAGGGATGAACTAAGCAGATTTGAAAGAAAAAAAAACCGCCAACAAAAAATAGAAAAAAATATAAAGTTTAAAAACAAAACATAAAAACTGCGGTGGCAGAGAGAAGAGACGGAGGGCAGCTAGAATGGAAGAGAGGTGAGTAACTAACGTCCTTTACAGGAGAATCGTATTTCATATTGAATGAAATAAAGTTCCCGAACATCAAGATTACATTTTGTGACAAGAATCAATGAAATTTGGGTTCATTGAAATTGAACTTATGTCTAAGGATTTATTTATTTATGTCCGTCGTTGAACAGCCGACCCAATTTTTGGGTTTACGACTACTAATGTTCAACTCCGTAGCCTTGTAATTTTAAACCAATCCAGAAGACAAGGAACTTCCTGGACTTTGAGGACAAGGAACATGGAGGACTTCGAGACTCGACAGATTTAACGTGCATCAGTCGCTATTTACTACACGGGGAGTCTTCAGCCGGCGGGGATCGAACCCACGAACTCCTGGACATAGGCCCAGCTCCCTACCGATCAGGCTATCTCAGCCGTATGTCTAAGGATTAAACAATGCGCATCAATAGATGATTTATAAAATTTGCCTTGACGGCCATAACTCTCCCGTTCCCTTAATATGAATGCTAAAGTTCACCTGGGTTTGCCCAATTTAGCCAAAGTTGCATTAATAAGGTATGTTAAAAAAACTCCACCGGTTACACTGACCTGCGAATTTGAGTCATAAAAAAGAATTTACAATATAATGACCAATTTTTATATGTTATTTTGTAAACTGATTTTAGATATATAGGAATACACATAAGAATTTTTCACAAATTAGGCTTGAACATCAAGAGAGTAATGGTTATTTTACATATTCTGAGGTGAAGCGGAAAACCAAACCATTACTATTTAGTTAAGTGAGGTATTTTGTGTTTGATCTATAGATCTACATTTAATTGAATGAGATGAAACTTAAATTGATAATACAATAAGATTAGAAACTATTAAAGTTGTGTGTATTAAAAGTACAATTTAATATTTTTGAAATTTTTTACCAAGCAAGTAGAAGTACTGCTCTTTATGTATTTCTTTTTTACGCTGAACCAAATGAAATAAAGAGAAAGTTAGTGGGTCTGAAGTTTAAATATTATTGAAGTTCTTATGTCTCAGATGCAAAATTTTGTACTTATGCCTTGTAACATGATTGATTAATATCTATGCAAGTGAAGCATTGTCTCTTGGATATATTTTACTCTAAACACAATAGAATAAAAATGAAATCAATAGAATTAATATTCACGAAGCTATAACTTGCAGAAAAAGATTATCCGAAGCCACACTAGAGGGCATCATTGAACTATGTCAACTGAACCACAATTTCAAAATTATTAATATTCAATGTAACTGTAACCGTCTTTGAAAATGCTTGTGGCAAAACCCCTACACCTCTTTGTGTAGTATCACTCTCTGTCTTTGTCTTGTACGCGATATGTTTTGAAATATATTTATTTGTTACTTACCCCTTCAGCTAATAATTTCGTATTTGAGAAGTTTTCATTTTTAGAAAACTATGGACATTCATGAATTGTTAAGTGGATCTTCAGTGTTAAATTAAATATAAATCAGGGTTAAATTAGAGAAAAGAGAAACAAGTGTCGTGTGCAAGAGCAAACCCATATATAATTTACATACAAAGAAAACCCCATATATTTTACTCTAATTATTCCACATGGATATGAATATTGACGCTTCGTCCCTCGAATAGAAGTAGTTTTGAACTAAACTTTGTTTAACTTAAACATTTATTTTAGTTAATTTGCAGCGCATTACTAGCTTAAATATCTCCAATTTTTGTTAGTAGCGACGACTTAGGACACTAAATTCTTATCCATATGTTTAGTAGATTATCAGACAATGCATGCCTGGATATGAAAATAAAGAAAGAAGAAAAAAAAGAGAAAGGAATAAAAAAAAAGAAAAAAAAAAGAATATTTATGCTTGCACAAATTGTTTATATTATTTTATTATTTCATCTATGTACATTTCTTTATACAATATTTAAAAAAAATCAAACTTGTTATTTTGATATTTAATTAATTATGTAACAAAGAACAAGCAAGTATAAAATATTTTTGCTAATTGCTGTATCAACCAAGGCACTTACGCTTCAAATAAATTAGTTTTCGAATCTGGCGTCACCGAATGTTTTACCAAACTTGACATTTATGATCAGGATTCATCTTAGTTTCAGTGCCACATGCAAATGCTGCGGAAAACTCTTTTAAGTTGGACATTGGCCCATTCACTCTGAAATTAAATAATATTCATGGAATTTTATTTGTAAACAAACATAGTATTTCATACCAAGTGTACAAATATATCAAAATTGGGACATGTTAGTTTTTGGAAGTTTTAGACATAGCTATGTCACTATACTCTATGTAAATAAACTAGTCGTCTCAAGTTTATGTGATTTTCCCACTTTTCCTCTCTCCGTAATCACGGTTTTGGCGTATCTTCTTTTTTTTTTAACATGACGGTAAGTTTCAGTAAGAAGTTTGAAAAACCTTTCTTGGAAAAACGCAAGATTTACCGAAATCATGATAGTATAGAGGGGGGAAATGTGGAGAGTGGAGAAATTGATTAACGAAGACAAGACTATTTTATTTACAATGAGTATACATTCGGTTATGCAACGTTGTAGTAAAAAAACTCAAAAATAGATGCTTATAGAATAAAATCCATGCACAGTACGTATGCAAAAAAAAGGGGACCACCCTGAATAACTTTTGATCTAATGATCGGATCTTTACTTTTTTGACTCAATCGCGATGGTTTGAGTGTGTGATCTGAAATATGCTAATTAATTAATGCGGACGATATTTTGAGTCACGAAATAAAAAAAATGAACTTTCTCGGAATAAACAGACCGTTCTTTCGTCGGATTCGGATTTCAAACATCCAAAATATAGGGGGAAGCCGCAATCTGGGAAATATGGTCCCAATAGTTGGTCAGGAGAGCCGTTCCAAGTTCGAATCCTTTAATGCTAATTTTACTTTTATCTTATTTCGTCATATCTCGTGAACTTCTTAAACAAAGTGTAAATTTTTTGCACATAACCATAAAATTCGTTTATTCAAAGATAATTTCTAGCAAAAAACATCTTTGAGAAAAAATTTATTATTTTTTGTTATTTTTGTTAATAATACTCGAACAATTTCTTTAAATATTAATTAAAATTTTCTCCAGATATGGAGAAATATGCAAGACATTGTATTAACATTAAAGGGTCCAAACTTCAGACGCCTCTCCTGATCAAACTATTTGGACCCTTTTTTACAGATTTCGGCTACCCCCTATATTATGGGGATGAAAAATCCAAATCAGTCGAAAAAAAGGTATGTTTATTCAGAGAAAGTACGCTTTTGTGTCTGATTTATTAACTTAAAATATAGTCTGTACTAATTAAATAACATATTTGAGGTCACCCCATTGAACCTTTAAGCTCGAGTCCTAGAAAGTGGAAATTCGAATATTAGATCAGAAGTAATTCAGGGTGGTTTGTTAATTTTTTTTGCACACTGTACATACTAAAACTAAAGGTTTTGCTACGCAAATTTTGAAAATTAGATTCTATGAAATAAAACGTAAATTAAACTACTGAGTACTACTATTAAACTACTAATTAATAGTAGTACTATTAAACTACTAATTAATAGTAGTAAATAAAACGTAAATTAAACTACTGAGTACTACTATTAAACTACTGAATGCACAAACTTCACTCAACATGTAAACGTCACTACAGATATTTGGATTACGTTATGACATGTTCAATAAGTCTGTCATCGTTAGTTATTATGTGGTACAAACGAATAGCAAAATCCTGCATGACCCGCTGAAGAGTCTGAACATCGATGCTGTCGATGACCTCCTGCGTGGTAGATTTCATCTTAGTAATGGTTTAGGAGTTACTTCTGAACACACTGTCTTTAATATACCCCCACAAAAATGGGTAACATATGTTCAGATCTGGAGAATATGGCGGCCATGTGAATCCCACGTCAGCCATGTGTGGGCATTGTGTACCCCAGAGGCAAAATACGGTCTCCAAAGTGCTCTTCCAAGACATTAAACTCTCTCTACTCTGGTGGGGGGTCGAGCTCCCTCTTGGCATTAACTATATCTTGTCGAAGTCAGGGGCATTTCAGATATTTCATATATATNTTTACCTGAATTCACCTGGACTGTGAGGGTCAGATAAAATCATTAGTTTCAGTTGCTCTGGTCTATAGTTTGCACACCAAACCTAAATATAAAAAGAGCAATAATTATAAACTAGAGCAAAACTTTATAGAATTATCTCGCTAACTAATAATATAATCTGCATCTAAATATACATAGATCATTTTTTTTGATGAAAATCTTGATTGTGTCGAGCAACTTACACAGAACGATGAAAGGATCAGATTTTCGAAAAAAAGATATGACAAGATCATTGATAAACAAATATATTCTTTATAAAAATTATATATTTGTTAAGCGAAGATATCTATGAATTACACAAAACACAAAATTACTAAGAACTGTAAAGGTATTTATTTATTTCTAGTTGAAGGAATAAAGAGACTTTAATACTTTATGATTAGATGGAAATTTTCAAGACCAGGAATTTGGTATCTCCTTTGGTTCGGTTGCTGCCTTATTAAGTGATGGAGGAACGCCTTTTTTTTTTAAACCACTGCACCCATTATAATTATTTCCATTTTGGAGGCAAAAAGTTTTTTACGTAGAGCTTTCTGATTTCTTCGGTGGGAAGAAAATCACTATTCAGCTCACTGCTGTTTGACTACTTCTACATTTGATTAATGAATTTAAATTTAATTAAGATTACTAATAATTTACACTCACGCTAGCTGAACTAATCCAAAAAAGTTGACTAGGGCTATATTTTAATCCTGGTAATTTCTTCTCTGGACCATTATCTCTGACCCAAGCATGGTAGGCCTGTAAAAGATAATAATACCAATTATTTTAACAGTAAATTATAGTAAATTCGGGACTAATTGACATATCTCTTATCGTGATTGTTAAAATCAAGTAATTAATGCGTTTCTCAATATTGAACTGAATTATCACTTATGGATTACTAATTGTTTTACACTATCCAAAAAAAACTGTCCTAAATTTGAAACCCTAGTACTATAGGGCGAAATTAACGATTACCACCAGCCACAGAGTGATAAAATCAAACAAATGCAGATTGAAAAATATCAATCAATCAACATTTTTTCCTTTAAAAATGCTTCTCATAAGAATTAAATTTTTTCAACAAATATGGAATTATAATGAATATTTTATAATATTCTAAAAATTACTTTAGTTCACGCTTGTTTCTTAAAATTTATCTTCATTTTAGAAATGAACCTTGTAATGTTTGCCTTATTTTGAGAAATGCTTTAAAAGAAACGTTTTTTATTATTAATATCAATGGCTTTTTATTATTCATCCAAAACTTTTAATTTGTGGAAAAGTGGCCATTGTTAAAAATACTGCTACTGGCTACTGGTTAGTAGCAAAATTTCCTAATTTTGTCTTATATCTAATTCTCTAAAAATACTATTTTAATTTATTATCTAATTTGGAAATTAAATTTATTTAACCATAAAATATATATTGTAAAAGTATAATTGAAATAGTACTCATTTTCGTAAGAAAATGCAAGGCTAGTATACAAAGCTAGAAAAAATGCTGTAAATACAAAGCTAGAAAATAATAAAAAAAAGATATCAAAGGGAAATGAACAAGTAAATACGTTGTCACTAATAAATAAAATGTTTGACACTAATATAAGTTTTCCGAAACATAATCGAGTTTAATATTGAAATAATCAACATCACATGATTTATAATAATAAAATAAGCACAAACAATTAATAAAAACTAGTTATTTTATTTCACTTATTATACTTCCCTAGTCCTTACTTTCATACTCCATTTTGATAGAGCTTAAACTTTGACTTAAATTGCATTAGGAGTAATGCAATTCACTTGAACAATCGACTGGATAAATTAAAACAACTGTTACAAACTTACAAGGAAAGGTTGAACATAAAGCAATGCACAAGTCATAGTCAGTAATGTACTTCGCAACAGACGGTACCTTACTATAGTCAGGTTGATCGTGCGCATTAGAATCCGTACTTATAAGTGTTCTAATGATAAATTTCAAACAATTATTTATCAAAATGCAATCGAATAGGTCCAGGGAGAACTGTTTTATTGTGCTTATTAATTTGGCGACTAATTTGCAGTGCTCCCTTATTTTATTCACACAACCAGTAAAATATGATAAAGCTTTTTAGCTCATTTGAATATAATTTTGGACAATAATCATTAAAATACATAAAATTAAGGTAGTTCCGATAAATCAAAGTATCGATTAAAATGAGAGCATGAGCAACCAGACCATAATAGAGAACCACCACAAGTGACATTTGCGACTATGAATTGCTTTACATTTCTCTAATTTTCTGGTGGTCTCTAACTTCCTTCCAAGTTTGTAAACGATGTGCTGAACCACTTGGTACAGATTTGTCATAATCCTTCAGTTTTTCCATTTACCATTTTAAATAGTGAGTGCAGAGCTGATGCATGTAGGTGGTTTTGATATTTTTAACAATGTCAGATGCTTTGAGTGATATTGATATTTTTCAAATTTCTCTCAAATATATATGAAATTAACAGGATCCTTTATCCACTGTAACACTGCACCGAGGATTTCTTTCGTCAGCGCTATGGTTGGTGCGAGTCGGGAGTAGATTTCGTATCAACCAGCAATCGCTGCGATTTGAACCTGGGGCGACAAATGCATGATTCGGATTTTTTTATGCTTTCGAATAAAAAATAGCATAACTAATGATTCCCCCCTAACAAAAAATATCTCATCAAATAGTTATTCTATAACCATCGTTAAACAGCTGACTCAAATTTGAGTTTACGGTTACCAATGTTCAACTCCGCAGCCATGTAATTTTGAACCTAATCCCGAAGAAAGGGAACTCCTGGTTCAGTACCCCTAGGTATTTATTTGTTATGGGAATTTGAAAGGCTTAATGATCCTGACAGATTTAATGTGCAAGAATAACTATTTAATATGTTGGTCATATTAGTTATGGGTATATCATAATATTTAGCAATCATAGTAGTTATTGATATGCTTCTATTTTTGCATTTGGTTCTGCAGCCGTTTTATTGAATTCTAAATTTTTAATTTCAAAATCTTAAGTGTGGATTCCGTTAGAAATTTTATGAAAAAAATTTTTTTAAGCAATAAATTACTCTTTAAAAAGATGCATTGTAAAATATGAAGAAAAAAAATTCTTACTCGATATGCCTCTTTCATTCCTCCATTGTCTGCAATATTTTCTCCTTGTGTGGTGATACCATTTACCTAATTATTTAAATATGAATACAACTTGTAAATCAGTATTGAACGCATTATAAGCATACGCTGACAGAATAGGAATCATTGTAAACACCACAGCAAAATTTTTATTTTGCACAAAGCAAAATAAAATTTTTTAATGTACTCTTAGCCATACATAATGTTTCAATACAAATAATTTTAACCAGGTGTTTACATTTCTATCCTTTATTCATCAAAGAAATGGATAATGAACTTGGGATATAGTGAACAGTTCTAAACTACCATTTAAATGACATTGTTTTATACGCTGATAGTGGAGTAGTGGACAGCAGAAAAATTGGAACTAGTTTATAGTGGTCTCCACTTTTATTTCGTCAGTAATTTTTTAATTTTTTTATTTCTCAAACTTCATATTTACAGATGTTGCGGTTACAAATGACAATACTTGAAGTTGGGTCAAATCTAAGTCTCGCATACTCCTTGCTTTTTAAATCAGTATGAACAAGATTTTTAACAGCACACACTTTTTCTTACGCTGCCCTTTGTTGAACAAAGACAAGAAATTACTGCAACTTACATCTCGGAAGTGAAACCGCCATAATATGTTCAGATTTTTTTCCTCTGGAGAAAATGAAGACTAAATTCTGGATTCTTGTCGAATTGTTGATGCGAAAATCGGTAACTTAAAATCTACTGTGTGTCGAAGGCTTCACGAACGTGTTTTGTAACTTAGGTGACCATTTCTGTGGCCTTCTCATTATGACACGGAAGAGAGCGTTTGAGGTGAGCGCAGCAACATAAATACTTAACGGCTGATCAACGGAGGACTATTTTCTTTGCAGATTAGTCCAGATTTAGCTTCCAAAGCGATAGTAGTTGTCAGATTTGGGGAGTATCTGGAATTCGATATCATCCACCAAACAACCATGAAAGAGATACATACCAAGAATGCAGCGTCTCTGTGAGAGTTGGCATCTCTTTCGGTGGACGCATAAACCTGCCTGTCCTGCATGTATAGAGATGACATCCTTGATGTTTATGTGCTGATGCAATTGGTGATGATTTCGTGCTACAGAACGATATAAATGCAGCACAGGGCTTACGTCGTGGATGATAATCTTCAGCAGGAAATAATTTAGTAGTGGCCAGCTTGATCAAGAAATTTGAATCCTATTAAGTATGTTTGGGATGCTTTAGATAGAATCTTATTCAGCATGTTTGTCTTTCAACTATCCTCCTGAAACTGTTTTGCAAGAGCAATGGATCGCACTTACCAGGGGCGTACGCAAGGGGGGTTTAGGGGTTTAAACCCCCCCCCCCTTGAGCTCAGACAAAGAGAATTTACAAAATAATACAGACAAAAATAAAAATTTTAGTAGAAATTATGCGGGTTATTACTTTTTAAGACTATATATTTTTATTTGCCTTATGCCTACTTTTGTTTTCTCACGGTATTTCTCAGAATACTGATAAAACATTTACTATAATAGGGTTGTATTTTTGAAACCAAATTCACGTGATACTGTTACGGGCGAGCCCCGATCACTGGTTCCTTTCTGACCTGCCAGTCGCGATAGTTTTCGAGACTGGCTGGCATTCGCGAGGTCTGGAATCCTAGACGTTCTGTCGTCTTTGAGACAATTCGAGAATTTTGTAGATGCGGTTAAAAAAAATTTTATGANAAGATGGCATTTTGTGACAAGAATCAATGAAATTTCGGTTTATTGAAATTGAACTTATGTCTAAGGATTAAACAATGCGCATCAATAGATGACTTATAAAATTTGACATGACGGCCATAACTCTCCCGTTCTCTTAATATGAATGCTAAAGTTCGCCTGGGTTTGCCCAATTTATCCAAAGTTGCATTAATGAGGTGTGTTAAAAATACACCACCGATTGCACTGATCTGCTAATTTGAGTTATAAAAAAGAATTTACAATATAATGACCAATTTTTATGTTATTTTGTAAACTGATTTTAGATAAATAGGAATACACATAAGAATTTTTCCCAAATTGGGCATGGACATCAAGAGAGTAATGATTATTTTGCATATTCTGAGGTGAAGCGGAAAACCAAACCATTACTATTTAGTTAAGTGAGGTATTTTGTGTTTGATGTATAGATCTACATTTAATTGAATTAGATGAAATTTAAATTGATAATACAATTAGATTAGAAATTATTAAAGTTGTGTGTATTAAAAGTACAATTTAATATTTTTGAAATTTTTACTAAACAAGTAGAAGTACTGCTTTTTTATGTATTTGTTTTTTACGCGGAGCCAAATGAAATAAAGAGAAAGTTAGTGGGTCTGAAGTTCAAATATTATTGAAGTTCTTATGTCTCAGATGCAAAATTTTGTACTCATGCTTTGTAACATGATTGATTAATATCTATGCCAGCGAAGCATTGTCTCTTGGATATATTTTACTCTAAACACAATAGAATAAAAATGAAATCAATAAAATTAATATTTACGAAGCTATAAGTAGCAGAAAAAGATTATCAGAAGCCATACTAGAGGGCATCATTGAACTATGTCAACTGAACCACAATTTCGAAATCATTAATATTCATTGTAACTGTAACCGTCATCGAAACTGCTTGTGACAAAACCCCTACATCTCTTTGTGTAGTATCACTCGCTGTCATTGTCTTGTACGCGATATGTTTTGATATATATTTATTGGTTACTTACCCCTTCAGCTAATAATTTTGTATTTGAGTAGTTTTCGATTTCAGAGAAGCATTTAGGTAGGCATTCATAAATTGTTAAGTGGATCTTCAGTGTTAAATTTAATATAAATCAGGGTTAAATTAGAAAAAAGAGAAGCAAGTTCCATGTGCACGAGCAAAACCATATATAATTCAAACCATACAAAGAAAACCCCATATATTTTACTCTAATTATTCCCCATGGATATGAATATTGACGCTTCGTCCTTCGAATAGAAGTCATTTTGAACTAAACTTTGTTTAACTTAAACATTTATTTTAATTAATTTGCTGCGCATTACTATCTTAAATGTCTCCAATTTTAGTCAGTAGCGACGGCTTAGGGCACTAAATTTTTATACATCAGACAATGCATATTTGAATATGAAAATAAAGAAAGAAGAAGAAAAAAAACGAAAGAAAAGAATATTTATACTTGCAAAAATTGTTTATATTATTTAATTATTTCATTTATGTACATTTCTTTATACAATATTTAAAAAAAATCAAACTTGGTATTTTAATATTCAATTAATTATATACCAAAGAACAAGCAAGTATAAAATATTTTTGCTAATTGCTGTATCAACCAAGGCGCTTACGCTTCAAATAAATTAGTTTTCGAATTTGGTTTCACTGAATGTTTTACCAAACTTGACATTTATGATCAGGATTCATCTTAGTTTCAGTGGCACATCCAAATGCTGCGGAAAACTCTTTTAAGTTGGACATTGGTCCATTCACTCTGAAATTAAATAATATTCATGGAATTTTATTTAGAAACAAATATAGTATTTCATACCATGTGTTTCAAGAAAAATATATCAAAATTGTGACATGATAGTTTTTGGAAGTTTTAGACATAGCTATGTCACTATACTCTATGTAAATAAACTAGTCGTCTCAAGGTTATGTGATTTTCCAACTTTTCCTCTCAACGCAATCGTGGTTTTGGCATATCTTGTTTATTTTTAACAAGACGGTAAGTTTCAGTTAGAAGTTAGAAAAACCTTTCTTAGAAAAACGCAAGATTTAACCGAAATCATGACAATGTAGAGGGGGAGAAATGTGGAGTGTGGGGAAATTGATTAACCTAGACAAGACTATTTTATTTACATTGAGTATAAATTGAATTGCAACGTTGTAGACAAAATACTCAAAAAAATAGATGCTTATAGAATAAAATCCATGAACAGTACGCAAAATAAAAAAAGGACCATCCTAAATAACTTTTGATCTAATGATCGGATCTTTGCTTTTTTGACTCAATCGTAATGGTTTGAGGGTATGACCTGAATTATGCCAATTAATTGATGCGGACGATATTTTGAGTCACGAAATCAAAAAAATGAACTTTCTCGGAATAAACAGACCGTTCTTTCGTGGGATTCGGATTTCAAACATCCAGAACATTGGGGGAAGTCACAATCTGTGAAATATGGTCCTAATAATTGGTCAGGAGAGCCGTTCTAAGTTCGAATCCTTTAATGTTTATTCTACTCTTGCCTTATTTCGTCATATCTCGAGAACATTTTAAACAAATTGTAAATTTTTTGCACATAATTATAAAATTCGCTTCTCCAAAGATAATTTCAAGCGAAAAACATCTTTGAGGAAACACTTATTATTTTTTATTATTTTTGTTTATAATAATCAAACAATTTATCTAAATATTAATTAAAATTTTCTCTCGATATGGAGAAATATGCAAAACATTGTATCAACAATAAAGGGTCCAAACTTCGGACGCTTCTCCTGATCGAACTATTAGGACCATTTTTCTCAGATTTCGGCTAACCCCTATATTTTGGGGATGAAAAATCCAAATCAGTCGAAAAAAAGGCATGTTTATTCAGAGAAAGTGCGCTTTTGTGTCCAATTTATTAACTTAAAATATAGTCTGCACTAATTAAAAGCATATTTGAGGTCACCTCATTGAACCTTTAAACTCGAGTCCTAGAAAGCGAAAATTCAAACATTAGATCAAAAGTAGTTCAGGGTGGTCTGTTAATTTTTTTTGCACACTGTACATACTAGAACCAAAGGTTTTGCCACGCAAATTTTGGAAATTGGATTATATGAAATAAAACGTAAATTAAACTACTGAGCACTACTATTAAACTACTGAGTGCACAAACTTCATTCAACATGCAAACGTCACTACAGATATTCGGATTAGGTCATGACGTGTTCAATAAGTATGCCATTGTTAGTTATGATGTGGAACAGACGAATAGCAAAATCCTGCGTGACCCGCTGAAGTGTCTGAACATCGATGCTGTCGATGACCCCCTGAATGGCAG